AAAACTGCATGCTTAAAATAACCAGGCACAACACCAGAAGACAAACTACTATTAATAATTTCCAAGACCGTGCCTCCAATTCATGGAAAGACTTCCTTAAATAAAGCCGGAGAAACGACATCTCGAGGGGAGCCAGAAGGCTTGGCCTGGGCAACCACTCCCTCCAAAAAAGTCAGAGTTACCGGCTCAAAAACATCAAAAGTAGTCACACACGGAGTAAAGACCGATGGATCAGGCACTAACCCAACCACAGTGGCCTTTATAGTAGCAACCTTCTCATTAAAATAAATTAAAAACTTATTACACAGTTCAACCGTTGCTTCCTGACAGTCAGGCTGCGGGGAATTTAACACCATCCCGATTGTGCTATATAATACACGTGAATCATGACTATTAGCTGCAACAATATTGGACAAATATTCCCACTTAGCTTCTTCCACAGTCCACATCTCACAAGACAACCACCATGTAGGTTTCAGAATTCTCCCAGTTCTTCTTTCATTCATATCATATCAATAATTTAAGCTTATAAACTTAATAGGCCTATTTTTGAAATGGGACCGCCAACGTTTTGATCAAGTAGCTTGAGCTGAAAAATGCAACGTGTCACATTAAGTATGGCCCATTCCAGCTGTTATTTCAGTGTGTCACACACACATTTAATCAACATTAACTGCAGGTAAACAACTATGAAATCGGACTTGATATTTGGCAAAATTACTGCACTTTGACCAAATGCAGTAGCATGAATATACTACATATATATTCTACATGTATAGACTACTGTACGCGGATATATTGATATACCCGGTCCCCCAGTCTCCCGTGGAGATTACACTCTATTATCAAATAAACATTGTTTGTAGTCTTTATACCTCATTTTGTTCTGTAAGGGTATATTTATTCTGAGACAGATGGAGCAAACCATTTGAAAGGAGAGAAGACTAATGCGAGCACTGGGAGGTCTGGTGTGACTGTGTGGCAATGGCAAATGGTTTACACCAACACTTTGCTTAAAGCCCCAGAGAGGTCAGCTCTGTATACTACAGAAGAATGTGTTTTCCCCTTGGACCTGTGTCTACACATGGCTGCTCACAGTGTAACAGCCAAACACGATAAAGGTTCAGCACAGCCTCAGTGTGGATTAGATCAGGGAGGAGGCTGCACGTCTCTCTAAGGTCTCACTGTCCATGAACTTAGTCTTTTTTTTTTTCAAGCCTGAAAAAGTGTGAATAGAAACGTTTGTTTGTTCATTAGAATTTACATTTTTGTGTAGTTTTTGAGTGTCTTGTTGAATTATATGTTGAAGTAAAATTTTTAACTAAAACCTTCACTTTCCATCTCCCATTTCTCTGTTACTTGTCCTGTTGCAGCTGTGTAGACATGAAGAGCAACATCAGTCTGACTCCCTTCTATTTTCAGTTCACTGTATTTGCAGACTATGGGCCCCTCAGATATCTTTTCTTCAGCCTCTCTCTGTTGATCTACATGACTATAATCTCTGCTAATCTTGTCATTGTTCTGTCAGTCTGCCTGGAGAACTCTCTGCATCAGCCCATGTATATTTTCATCTGCTCTCTGTGTTTAAACTCTCTGTACGGCTCGACCGGCTTCTTCCCCAGGTTCCTGATGGACCTTCTGTCCGACACTCATTTCATCTCACGTCCATTCTGTTTTGTTCAGATGTATGTTATTTACACTTATGTAGTACATGAGCTGTCTCTCCTCACTGTCATGGCCTATGACAGGTTTGTTGCTATTTGCCAGCCTTTACACTATCATAGTAAAATCACATTTAGGACGGTGCTGCTGCTTCTGTTTCTTGTTGTGCTGTATCCTGCCTGTATTTTAGGCTACCTGTTTTATCTGGCCAGCAGTTTGCCTCTGTGTCAAAACAAACTGCAAAGGCTTTTTTGCACCACTTTCTCTGTAGTTCAGCTCTCCTGTGAGGACACAACTGTGATCAGCATAGTAAGTCAGCTTGTTGCTCTGACATCAATCTTCATCCCCCTGTTCTTTGTCCTGTACACCTACCTGCGCATTCTGCTTGTCTGCAGGAGAAGTTCATCTGAATTCAGAGGAAAGGCCTTACAGACCTGCCTGCCCCACATAGTGACCTTTATGAACTTTTGTATCTCAGTTCTTTGTGAGCTTTTACTGAGTCAATATAAGATTGATGAAGTAAATACATTTGTCAGTATTGCCTTATCTCTGGAGTTTCTGATCATCCCCCCCATCAGTAACCCTCTGGTTTATGCCCTGAAGCTGCCTCAGATCAGAGGAGTGATTTCTGGATTTATCAGGGTAGGCAAAAAGGTTCATCCTATATAATTCAAAGACTCAGCAAGCACTGAAGATGTTTTGAAGTCTTAATCTCTAAATGTCTGTTATTCATGGAATTCATGTGAAGCCTAGTCTTTTAATATGCATGGTCCAACTCGGAGCTCATGAGATTAAAATGTCTCAGATACTCATGTTTGAATTGTAATTTACAGCTGAGCATGAATCCAACTTTATATCTGCCAGTCGGTTAACCAGCTTGCCCTCGACCTAACCTCAAGATTAAAATGCCAGTTACACATTAGTGCACCAGTAATAATAATAATACAATAGCATAATGTACAAAATATTGGAATTCTGGTGAATAATCACTACTTTGACCACTGATACTTTAAATAAATTTGCTGTCTGCAATAATTTGTGCCAACTGAAAAACATTTTGGCATTTGAATGGTTTGACCATAACTGAACTATGATGTGTGACACAGAGACAGGTCAGTGCACAATGTTTAAGTGTGTGTTTCAGGTCTTCGGCAGTGATATTCTGCCATTACAGTACAGTTTGCACCATTACTTTTATGTGATAACTATTGCTGAGCATTTTACTATTTATGAAGCTCATGAAATAAAAATACCAATGCATTAACATTAGGAAAGGCTCATTTTTATACCTGTTTGCTGCAGGGGCTGTATTTATTTACTGTTACGTAACAACATCAGCAAAGTAAATGTGCCCAACTCTTTGCACACAACTGTATACTTTAATATGGATGAGGGGATAATAATTATCTGATACTGAATTACCATAGTACCCACTGTGTTCCAGTGTAACAGTAACAAGTGTTGCACAGACAATACTTCACATTTACTGAGGTATCTGTCTGAGTACAACCCAGAATGTGTTGAAATCTGGATCATGGTCTGAGTCAGGTTCCAGAGGTCTCGGTGCTTCTAACAACAAGCCCAGTGACCGTCTATGCAGGATTTAATGTGATTTAATTCACACTCAGTCTTTATGTTTTCATAGTACTGGTACCCTATGTATGTTCCAAATACATAAAATGCAAATGAAACAAATACACTTAAAAGTTTGTGAATTTTATATGTTTTTTATCTGACTAATAATATTTTTTCATACAAAATGTAACTTTCTCTTCTTCATCTGTCCTAACTGTGAAAATTCCTCCTTAGTGTTGACAAATTGGTAACAGGGTGAGCAAAAGGCTGATAAAGCCTTAATAGAGCTGATTAGCTGTTTAAATATTAAAGTGAATTTATGGCCAAAGTTCAATTAAAATGAACTTTGGCACCTATTACACTGACCTCCACAGTGCATGTCCAGTGAGATAATAATATATTAGACTCTTCCTGGCTCTTGTTTCACACTCCCATTTGAAGATGCTGCTCATTCAGGTGGTTTTCAGTGATGTGAAGGAAGCAGAGAAGCAGCAGTGTGGGGAGCACAGACACCACTGGAGCAGCACGCTCACAGACACAGACACCACTGGAGCAGCACGCTCATACTGTGGTAAAAGAAAGTTAGGTTTTTAACCCCTTGCTTCATTCATTGTCTCCTATTGAAAACAGGCAACAATGATCACTATGGGTGCATGGTGCATTTCCCCTTATTTTCTCCTGTGGTTTACAGACTAGACTGAGTAGAACAACCGAAATGTGAAATGTCTAATGTGAACTGTATGTGTGAGGTTGCTGGTCTGGCACTCTCTCTCACTCTCTGGGTTGGTAGAGTGTGGTATGGACAGAAGCTGGCAAGGGGTGACACAGCAGTGGCTTATTATTACCATCAGTTTGGTTAGTATATAACCGAGGCTCAGCTGTGTCTCCCTTGCCAGTCAGTTGTCCTTGCTATGACCAGACGACCAAAACCTCAAGCTTTCTTTTCCTGACGGTTTCTTTCGCCTATCTCTGGCCAACATCTTGTGTGGGCTCCACTGTCGGTCTGCTCCCGAGGTACCTCTCGGTGCCTCCTCAACACAGAGTAAGTCTCTGACAGAAAGTCAGAATCAGAATCAGCTTTACTGGCCAGGTGTGTTGGACACATGAGGAATTTGACTCTGGTACAGTGGCTCTCAATATGTATATACAGTATATATCCTTATGTACAGCAGCAAAGGGCAAGTAAACAATATACGTAAGGCTGAGAGAACAGAAAATAAGGAAGTAATGGTCAAACAAACAAAGGAATGTGCATCAGGAAACGAGAT